ACAAGATCAGACTGACTAATAACATGAGTTGGTTTAGGGTTTAGAGTTGGTCAATAATTAGAGAAGTTTACAAGCAATCACACATATATGATCTTGCTGTATTCAAGATCTATCATATATGTGTCTACTCACCAATGTCTGGGTTTATGTTGCTTAAGTCTTAGAAGCTTAAAGCTACTAAGCATTCAAATTAGGGATGATAATTAAACTCATACTTATAGATATTGATCAGTCTTATTCCGAGTTTGACATGGAAAAATCGAGTTAACTAGGGATGAACGCAAATTCGGGTTTTCTCCGCTTTAAAAAGTCGGTGCAGGAGTGAGAATGATAATACAATCATCACCTCGATCTCATCCTCGTTTCTACCCGAATTTTATATTTAAATTTAAATTTTAACATATTAATATTTTAAAAAAATTTCCTTTTATTTTTTTTATTACATATAAGGTTTTTTTTATTTTATCATTTTTACTTTTCTTCTACCCACTATTTAATTCTTTTTTTTAATCTTTTATATCAATTAATTTTTTACATTATTTTCTTTCTCTTATCTTTTAGTTTTTCACATTTTCTTAATCTCTCCGATCAATTTTTTTTTCAATCTTTTCAACCAATCTAATGAATAAAAAGTTAAATTTTTTTCTTCTTTATCATTTTTTAAATATTTTACATAAATCTTAGTAGTAACTAATATTATTTTGTTTATAATTTATATTTATCAAGTTTTATTATGTCATATTTTTTTGATCTTATTATTCCTATTTGTCATATATCAAATTTTATCTTAATAAAATAATTATATTTTAAAGGATTAAAAAAATTAATAATTTAAACTTTTATTACTTCGAACTAATTAAATAAAAATTAACTTATTAAATATTTCCTTACAACCTATATATTTCATATTTTTAAATGATGTAATCGAATATTTAAATAAGTATAATAATAATAATAATAATAATAATAATGTTATAAGTATTCAAATATTTGAATATAATATTATAATAATAATAATAATAATAATAATATTATTATAAATATTTTATATATGTATAAATAAAAATGATTAAATATTTCTTTTACATATATATTTTAATATAAATATAATAAATTACAATATATATTTAATTAATAATAATTATAAATTTTAAAATTATAAATATTTATTTATATATAAAAAATACATAGAAATAATAAAATTAATTTATTATAAATATATAGTTTTTTAAATAATATAGATCGAGGTCGGGACAGAGACAAGAAAATCTGAAACCCAACAGAAACGATGATGTAAACTTAATTTCTAACTCTGACGATAATCGAGGATGAAGACGGGGACAGTTAAAAAAGTTTAAGTGAGATCGAGAAGCAAAACTCATCCTCGCCTCGTTGCCATGCGTAGTTGAAACCTATTAAATAAGAGATATTTACATGCATGTTCATGAGATCTACAACTAAAAAGAATAAGTAAAAGATTGTAATATAAGAAAAAATGACCTTACTGTTTCTTGAAGGTGTTTGATTGTTACCAACAAATGAAGAATGTTTAGAAAAATAAAAATTGACTAATCAAGAACGTTTAAAAATTAAATGTTGGAGTAAGGAGGGGGTTGTTTCAAGAATAAATAAGTAGAAATAATATCCAATTACCCACTTGTTCAGTTTTCTAATTAGATTTGTTAACCGTTTCTAAAGATTAATTTATAATCTTGATTTAATTCATTTTACCCAAAAATTAATTAATCAACTTAGTTAAGCATCAGAATTTGATGAATTTGGATTAGATTATATTACAATTCACAATCAAGATTAAAAAAAATAAAAGAAAAGAAGAGTGATTGATATAAAAAACTAATCAATGGAAAAACAAATTGAGTTAAAAAAAACTAATAAATAGAAAAAAAAATCATAAAACAGGTATAGCCCTCTATCCAGGCTTCACCCAAACATAATGCAAGAGAATTGAGAAGGAGAAAAAGAAATATGAACATAAACTTTTTCATTGAATTCAAAGTGTGTCATTGTTCCAAATACATGACTTCCTTCCTATGTATAGAAGAACAGGTAATAAAGAATAACTAATAATACAAGCCTAAACAAATCCTAATGACTGCAAATTCTGATTAAAAGGATAAACTATTCATCCTAATGCTGAGAAAAAAATCATATTCTTAACCAAATGGTGGGATCAGACAAAATAAAGTCCTAAAAGGATAAAACTTTGTCATCTCTTGTTTTCATTTTATTTGAGACTTCAAGTGAAACTAATCTTCTCCTAGTGTTTCCATGAAAATTGTAAACAATTTTATTCTTCAAATCCAACTCCCTACAACTTAGGACGTCAAAATATTGCACCCACGTTATGTTGTCAACGAAACACGACGTCATCAACTTATGCATAATCAACCCACTTTTGCCCTTCACAACTCATGTGAATCAGCTAAATTCATGAGATATGAAAATATAGATATTTGTCTTATATTTTCAAGGACGCCCAAATTGTTTGAACATGATTTCTGCACCCTCAAATATTCCCTGTAGAAGACAAGGTCAAAATGAACTAAAAGGTTAACAAAGATTTTCATCAAATTCCATTTTAAGTCTTAACATTTGAAACATAACTAGAATGTTCATATACAACACAATCATGTAATCAACTCTAGTATAAAACTATAATAAATTTTAAAAAATTGATTGGTCAAATTCCCCACAATTAGCTTTGGCAGGAGCAAAATACAGAATAGAAACTCAAGTTAGCACGCAATTGTTTCATTTTTCATTTATTCAATAATGCAAAGTAGCAAGCAATTTATATTAAAGATTAAAAATCTTTTCTCCAATTTTTTTATTTTCTTCTATACTCGATACCTTTATTTGCTTGAATTAAAATTGAATCTATTATCTATATATTAATAATTCAATATAAACATATATAGACCAAAAATTTTGTTATGAGTTAAAGTCACGTACATGCAAAGAACTTTCTATAAGATCAATCTAGTTGTATACTAGACAACCATATGTCCCACATTGAACAACAGAGTGTCCGCAACCTTCGACGTACTTTGTACAAATTTTAAATTAAAAACAAAACAATACAAGAAAGTCACAGATTCTCATAAGACATGTTCTCAAAATCTGAAGTGTATAGATTTGTTTTTACATTCAAAGTACATTATGTGAGCTAGCACTGTCATAGGCTTGACAAGCCTCCAACATCCACACTTCAAATACATGCACAAAAGGGCTAGTTTTATATTTTTCTACAGAAAGTAGTCTTGTAAAGCTTTATAAAAGCCGCTTTTTTATGCATTTGAAAATTGGCTTGTGTTTTCTTGAAGAATATCTCCCTTTTTTTACAAAATAACTTTTACAGACCTAGATATTTTTTGTTTTGGAATACCCGCCATCACTAAGAGAAACAAAATGGAAAAAAAATTATTTATAATGGACATCCTATAGTATTGTGGTTCCTAGGCTTGGGATACCATGATCATCAAGAAAATAGATTTTAACAAAGTATCAACTCTTAGAATTTTCAAGATATGCTAATCATTCATGAGGGAGACTCAGAGTAGTTTTCCTAATTAGATTCAATGTTTGTATGACTTTACTCAAAAGTTGGCCTCTCAAATATATTAATCATATTATGTTATCATATATTTCTCAACCCTAATCAGCTCTTGAGGGGCTCAAGATGTTCTTAGAGGCTAGCTCATTAGAAGATGTGAAGAAACTTGATGAGTTATATGTTCCACATGTTTTGAATCAAAATTTTGATCATGTTCACGATTAAGTTCTTCAGTATAGTGAAGATAATGGAACATTTAATAGCAAGGCTGCATTAATCCTCTCTTAATTAGAGGTACTCAAGAACCTGTTCAACAATCGACAGTGATATCCAGTAGTGGAAAGTGAGGTCATGGAAATTGAGAAGGATGTGAGAGTAGAGGCAGTCACCCTAAATGCTCGTGTGGTAAAAGAATAGTTCATACTCAGGAAACCTATTACTCTATGCATTTGAAGGGGGTATTAAAACAGCAGAAACTTTAAATGACCAGAAAACTCTGCACTGGTATTATTTACTGGTGAATTTGCATAAAAGGATTGAAGATCAGGAGCTCATGGCATCCATGACAGAGTACAAAGCCGCAAGAATGTCAGGAAGGAACAAAGAATATTCAAAGAGAACGAAATCAAACAAGACATCCCTTTCTCTCTCCCCCACTCACGTATTATATCATATCTTCAGTACATAACCACCCAACTGTCTGTTGGGAATTCTATTTCTCTCACCTCTATGCACTCCCACTTCTATCGGATCATGTGCTATATGTTCCTTTTTTTTAACTAACTCCAATTCTTTAATTTAACTGATTAGTCCCTCACCCGTACCTTCTTCATTCTCAATTGGGCCCCTTACAGCATTGTTCCCGAGGAGAACAATAAAAATTTTCTGCAAGAAGAATATGAGATGTATCTTGACTTAAAGTTCGACAGCCAATCCCAATAATCTTTAACCCTTTCAATAACCTATATTTCTTAATAGTCAAGGTCCACATGTAAATAACTTAGGTCCTGTTAGCAGCCCAAATAAACCTTTAGGCCCAGATACTAGTATTGCTAATAGGCCCACTATTTGTACAGTGTATGAAATGAGTAATAGGAGAGTGAGGAAATGATGAGCTGGCTAAGGAGAGTGGTGCGCACATTGCATGTGGGACCAATTTGTTGAATGGGTTTCTTGTTATATTGGGGAGTGTGAGGACAGAGAGGATAACTTTGGGAGTATTCAATAGTTTGTCATGGATGAAGAGCAATAGTTCTCTATAAGAGCTTTGCTCTGCATTCAGGAATTCTGTTTCCTGTATTTTTACTTCTGTTTTGACCCAATAATACAGTATTATCATATTTTCTCTGTTTCTTATTTCTTTTTGCAACTTTTGTTTTCGGTTCTCCAACATTTTGGTTCAAACTGTGGGATCTTCTTGAGGTTAATGCCACTGAAACAACAGAAAATGAACTACAAAATCACAACAATAGAGGCTAAGGTCACGTTGTTGGAGGCAGAGGTACATAGGCCTGTAACGACTGTGGATTCGATTCAAATACAGACCATGCTGATCTTGGAGAAGCCGGAGGTTCTGTCCCTTAACCAAGAAAAGAAAAAAGTGCGGATGTTGAAGCCAGTGATTGGGATGAAGAGGTAAGAGCGCACAAAATTGACGAATTGAAGGTGATTTCAGCTAAGAAAACTGCGACTGAAATGTCCTTTAAACTCTGGTATGAAGAAATTACATGGAGATTCATTAGAGGAGTTTTGTCAATCCTTTAAGAAAATCGAGTTACTGATGTTCAATGGAGATGATGCTGCTGGTTGGATTTCCTGAGCTAACTGAAGATGGAGATGATTCTTTGTCGGAGAATGAAGATGATTTTACATGGGAGTAACTGAAAGTTGAGCTCCTGGACCGTTATGGTAGCAGTGGAGTGGGGGAAGAGCAATTTACAGGTATCCGCGAGAAGGGACACTGGACCATTACCTTAAACATTTTGAACTTCTTACAGCACAAGTCAGGCATATTCTAGATGATCAATATTTTGGGTATTTTTTACAATGAGTTGAAGGATGAGATCCGAGGATGATGTTGAGCTTAAAAACTGTGATACCCAAGATGTGAACAAAGATGGTGAATGTGATCCGAAGATTTAGACCTAACTCAATTCTATAAAATTGATTTCTATACTCAACGGGGGATCTCCAACAATCTTATTTAATTGACAAGAATGGATAAGGAAGAGATCTATGATTATTAACATGGCTACACTTTGACATGCACTTTTATTAGAGTATATTTACTATGATTTATTAAAACCTATTACACACTTGACCACATTTTATCTTTTTCCTGTCTTACATGTTACTAAACACAATATAGCTATTATGATTCAGTAACATGAAACCCATTGGAAAATAAAATAACTCACTGCAAGATTTTTTATGCATGTTTAGAATTCATTAATACCAACATGAGATATGAAATACTGGCAACATCTATAGCTTCTTCTAGAATATTACAGTTACCAGTAATTCATGCTCATTGACTCATTATTAGTAATTACCATGTTCATTAGGTAATTCACCCATTGACCAACCCCTAATGGTAAGTGATTATCATGTTCATCTTGTATACCAAATTTTAGAATGCAGACACAGAGTATCAGGTGATAATTTTTGGGTATTGTAAGAAATAAGAACAATAAATATAAATCATTTATTATATTCAATTGCATAAGATTAAACAACAACCCAAGAATATGGTCTTGTTTCCCTTAGCTGGCACTTTCCCCTCTACTTTGTTATCATTCTTATTTAGTTTTAAGAAACTCGGATCATCTGCAGTAGTTTGATAGGATGCTAATACTTGTGTTTAATATTGTTAGAATTATTATTAGTTAGTGGTTAGTAGTTAGTAGTTGGTGGTTGTTGTTTTAAATGTTGTAATCCTATATATATATATATATATACGAGATCATAGAGTGGAGTAATGCATCCCACTAAATTAAAAATCTTCTTTTCACTCTCTTTACTCTCTTAACTAATATAACATAACTAATCCATTTCATTCAACCAAGTTGGAAACTGCAATAACCCACCCACATAGCCACCATTTTCATAGAACATACAGCCCATTCCTACCCTAAAAGCCTGTACTTTTGGGTTCAACCCTAATTTAGGTTACACAAAATCATAGAAAAATAATCTTTGTCTAATGTTCATTATTTGGAATTATGTGTCAAAAATCACGGTTAAGTGACATTGCACTAGTTCCTATCAAAAGGGGAAATATTTTTTTTTTCTTTAAATTCATTATTTTCAAATAGTCCACAGATTGCTATCCATCCTATCCAAACCAGCCCAGATTTTCCTTTGATACTTTATATCACTGTGATTGGTCATGCTATTAGCTCGGCTTTGAATGTGCAGCAAAGCCACCAGAATGCAACACACTCTGTACGATTGGGTAGATTGGCGATTACAACTGTGGTTGCCAGAGAAAATTGAGTGTGGCCAAAAGTCACTCGAGATGTCTACAGCCACTGTCAGTAATAAGTGAACCTAGACCGTGGGTTTACCAAAAAAAAATCCTCCTCTAGGGACATTGGGTCCACTAAGCAAACACAAAATTTAAAAGGCTCTAGATACAATATTATAAAAGAAATAAAAAATAAAAAAATAATAAGAGAAGCATTTAGCCGAAGTTGTGTGTTCCTCTTACACACACCACGAGTGATTTATTTATATTGAAAAAAGAAACTGGTGAGATTAACTGCAAGGCCACTAGAATGCCTATAGAATAAAATCATAAAATTAAATCACAAAATTGGGAATGGTGAAGGGATTTTGTAGTAAATAAGGGCAAATACCAAATACTCAGAGAAAATCATTTACCCAACCAAGACCAAACTTGACATAGCTTATGTTACTATTGTGGTCAGTCAATTCGTACATGATCCAAGTGAACAACACTTATAGGTTGTAAAAGGATAGTAGAATAGTTGAAGACAAGTTTTGTATGGGGGTTGTTGTTTAAGAAGGATGAAAATGTATTGACGCATACTATTCTGGTTGTCACTTATAGGAAGTCCTCCTGAAGATATTATATATATGTTCTTGGTAGAAACTTGGAGACTTGGAAAATTAAGAAACAAAATGTAATTTCAAGGTCCTGTTCAAAGGCTGAGTTTTGAGTTATGGTAAATGGGTGTGTGAATTGTTATGGACTATGATGCATGAATACGATATGAGTATCCGATACGTATCATATCTGACACGACACGTTTATTTTAGAAAAAAACAAGATGTATAAGATATGCATTTAAAAATGTATAAAAATTCATAAAACATAATAACTATATGGAAGGTTCAACGGTAGGATTTATACTAGGAGAAATAAATAAGGAGGCAGTTATAACCTTCTACTGTTGTAATGTGTTTAACAGACTATTATATATAGTCTGTGTTGAAAATCCCACATCGCCTACCTCATATCATTTGGTATGGTTTAAATACATGTTAGGCTACTCCACATATAGCCAATTGGTTTTATGTTGGAACCTTAACATGGTATCAGAGCCAAAGCCTAACATCTTTCCGGTTATTGTCATGGGCTAAAAGTTGCCCTTTAGTTGGGTCAAAAGTACCCTTTGCCTGGTCCGGCAGGCTTCGTTGGAGGGGGTGTGTTGAAAGTCCCACATCGCCTACCTCATATCATTTGGTATGGTTTAAATACATGTTAGGCTACTCCACATATAGCCAATTGGTTTTATGTTGGAATCTTAACAGTCTGTGTTTATGTTGTTGAAGGGTTTTTTATTTTGGGATTGTTTGGAGGGAAGGGAGTTAGGAGTAATTGCTGACTGTAATTGTTGGTGTTCTATCAACTGGTATTCAAAACTACTTTCTTGGTCCCTGTGGTAGTGCTAGGAGGCTTATGGTTAACACCAGAATGGAAGCAAGATTAGAGGCGTTGGAACGCATGTGTCAAGAATAAGTGTGCGATAGAGATAGAGCGAAGAATGAGCAACATGATCGCATACAACGTTTGGAGAATTTGATCAGTGGCCTTACAGGGGTTGTGAAGAAAATGTCAAGTGCATCATCGTCGGGGCCGAATAAGGAGGCAATTACGCCACAAAAGTCAGTTACACATGATCCAGAATGGCAGCTAAAGGAGGGATCATGGTGGCGAAAGTTGGATATTCCAATTTTTCTGGGGGATGATGCGTTTGGACAAACAGGTTGGAACGGTACTTTCACCTACAAGAAGTCAATGAAAAGGAAAAAATGTAGGTTGTGATGATCACATTGGAGGGAAAGGCCTTAAATTGGTTCCAATAGTGGGAATCTTGCAATCCAAACCCGATGTGGGAATCTTTTAAAGTGACCGTGGTGCGTCGTTTCCAGCCCAACATGTTGCAGAATCCTTTTAAGGTGCTTATTGCTTTAAATCAGACCGATTTAGTTGAGGATTACATTGAATAACTCAACCAGTATGCGGGGCTGCTAAAGGGCATTGATCAAGATTATCTCATCGAAATATTCTTGAATGGATTAAAGGATGATACTAAGGCAGAGGAGAAGTTGTATGATCCTTCAAATTTGGCAGAATTAACGATGAAGACTCAAATGGTGGAGGACAAAATCCGAATTTTGTCTAAAGGGAAGGGACCAATGGAGAATAAGGCCAATTCGGGTCTCAAACTCAATTGGATGACAAGAAGTATTTTTAGAGAAGGTAATAATAATTTCAATATAATGAGCAAAGGGAAAGAAGAGAGAGAAGGAGCAATCAATCATCCTGTGAAAACCCAAGGATTGATTCAAAATCGTGGCTCAACCTTTAAAAAACTGCCAAATGAGGAATTATAAGACAAGATTAAGAAGGGATTGTGTTTCAGATGTGATGAGAAGTATGGTCCAAATCACGTCTGTCGCAATAAACAATTTCATATATTGTTAGCCACTGATGAAGGGGGGGAAGATAAGGATGGATTATTGGAGGGTATGGAGAAACTGGAGGTGGGCAATGAAGGTGACAAGGTTTTGCAATTGTCCATGTTTACCTTGGCTGGCTTGATCACCAAGAAATCATGGAAGGTTTGGAAACACAGGGGATGAAAAGGTGATTGTCATGTTGGATTGTGGAGCTTTCCATAATTTTCTTTCACAAGAATTAATGGGAAGATAATTCCTAGCCACTCCTACTTATGTGGTAGAGGTTGGAGATGGAAGAAGGCTGAAATGTCAGGGGAAATGCACGGATTTGGTGTTAACAATTCAAGGATTGATGATTCGCCAAAAATTCTTCATCTTTGATATTAGGGGGCAGACATTGTTTTGGTGCTGGACTGGTTGGCCAGTTTGGGTGAAGTGAAGGAAGATTTCGGTAAATTGAAGTTGACCATAGGTGGAGGGAATAATCAAATAACAGTGGTGGGAATTCTAGCCCTTTCTACCACTGCAACTTCCTTTAAAAGGTTGATCACTGACTTGCAGAAGGGTGACTCAGGTTTCTTGGTTGATGTGGTAAAAGAAAATACAACAGAAGAGATGGTTGGAGTGCCAAAGGAAGTGGACGAGGTGTTAGGTTCTCACATGGAGGTTTTCCAGGATTTGGAAGGGCTACCTCCAAAAAGGCAACAAGATCACCTAATTCACCTCAAAGAGGGAACTTCAATTCCTAATCTTAGGCCCTATAAGTACTCACACCAAAAGAAGAATGAAATTGAGAAGTTGATTAGTGAGATGTTGAAGGTTGGAATCATCTGTGCAAGTATCCGCATACTCTAGCCCTATAATTCTAGTGAGAAAGAAAGATGGTGGTTGGAGGTTTTGTGTAGATTATATGACTCTCAACAAATTGACAATTGCCAATAAATTTCCAATTCCAGACATAGACAAGCTGTTGGAGGTTGAACTGGCTGGGGCATCCATATTTTCTAAATTGGACTTTAAATCTGGATACCACCAGATCCGTATGAGGGAGGGCGACATTGAACAAACGGATTTTCGAACACATGAGGGTCACTATGAGTTTCTTCTCATGCCCTTTGGTCTGACAAATGCCTCTTGCCACTTTTCAAACTCTTAAAAATGAGGTTCTTAGGCCTTTTCTGAGGAAATTCGTTTTGGTGTTCTTTGACGATATTCTAATTTACATCCACTCATTGGAGATACATATTCAGCACTTGATGCAAGTCTTGAAAAAGTTGATTGAGCATCAGTTGAAAGTCAATAAAAAGAAGTGCACCTTTGGCCAAAATAACATTGAGTATTTGGGGAATGTAATTTCAGGTGTAGGGGTGTCAATTGACCCCAAGAAGGTGGAAGCAATGTGGAATTGGCCAATTCCAAAGGAGGGCACGTCTTTAAGAGGATTTCTAGGCTTAACAAGGTATTATAGGCGGTTTGTTCAAGATTATGGAAAAATAGCCAAGCTTTTGACCCAACTATTGAAAAAGGATGCGTTTAGTTAGAATGTGGAAGCTCAAAAGGATTTTGAGGTTCTTATATTTGCTGTCTCACGTTTACCCACCTAGCAATTCCAGATTTTTTTCAAATCTTTTGTGGTTGAAATTGATGCTTCTAGCAAAGGGTTGGGTGGGGTTCTACTCCAAGAAGGCAGACCTTTAGCCTTTTGGAGCCAAGCACTGTCAGAGAGAGCTCAAAACAAATTGGTTTATGAAAGAGAGTTGATGACCTTGGTTCAAGCAATGCAAAAATGGAAGCATTATTTGATGGGGACCCATTTCATCATAGTTATTGATTAAAAGAGTTTAAATGAGCTTCTAAGTTAATTGAATTTGACTTTGAAACTCAATATAGACCTGCAAGGGAGAATACCGTGGTTGATGCACTTTCTAGACAAGCTTATTTTAACAATATCTCTGTTTTGCAATCCCAAGGGTGTTAGAAGAGGGAATTAGAGATGCAAAAGGACACTAAGTTGAGTATTATCATTCAAGATTTATTGGCAGATCCTAAAGCTCATGCACACTATAAGTTAAAGAGGGGGTGGCTGTATTATCAAGGTAAACTAGTGTTGCCTAGACATTACTCCCGAATTCCAATCGTTCTTAAGGAGCTTCATGAATCACCTTCAGGAGGTCACAACGGTTATTTTCGCACTCTCAAAAGAGTTGCTGGAGTTTTTCTAGAAAATTAGATTAAATGAAATCTTCTTTTATTATTTTAATACAAAAAGATCATACATTATATATACAGGCGACCTAATCTATTTTAGGAAATATAATAACTCTATTTTATTCTAGGATCCCTTGATTTATGGGATTGTTCCTAATTATTCAAATCTGCATAGATTACAAATTTCCTAATTTATTCTATCCTAAAATACTATTTGATTTCCCACACTCTCCCTCAAGCTGGTGAATAGGTGTTTTCCACTCCCAACTTGGATACAATCTTCTCAAAATTGTGGCAGTCCAGTCCCTTGGTAAGAATGTCTGCAATTTGGTCTTGAGAGGACACATATGGAGTGCATATCAAGCCACTATCAAGCTTTTCTTTGATGAAGTGTCTGTCTACTTCAATATG